CTTTATCACCTATTCAGGTTGTAAATCGTGTTTTTAAAAAGTAACTAAGTAACTAAGTAATTAATTACTTTTGAAAATAAGTAATCAGTAAAGTAACTGGATTACTTTTTTGGGGAAGTAATCAGTAATTAGTTACTGATTACTTTTTTCAAGTAACTTGACCAACACTGCATGTGTTTCTATTCAGACTCTAAGCTAGCCTTGATTATTTTGGCTAACTGGTTTTTATAAGGACGTACAATTTTAGTGGAAGTCAGATGATGGAAAATCACCAAAAAAATCTGTTTTAATAAAATAAACACAAGATCACAGAAACATATGCTTCAAGCTGGGAAATGAAAACAGACTTTTATATCAATTCATATTCACATTTTTTACATCCAAGACGGCTTCTTGGTCGTTAGCCAGCAAGTTGTAACTCAAGTAAGGTGCATCAACCTGGTGATGGTCAGCTCAGAGCACAATGGAGAGTTTGGATTCATGGTCTGCAAACCGTTCCTGTAGGCTAACATTATCTGGGCCATACTGATGCTGAATCTATTTTTGTCAACCCTCTTTGTTTTTGCCCACGTGGGCTATTGTATTTTCTATTGTGTTGTTTTCTATTTCCTCCAATCCTTAAATCAAAGAAACCAAAAGCCAAACGCTACCATGCAAAGAATTTGAAAATATTTCATATGAACAACTGAAATCACTCATTTAACATGATTAAAAACAATATGCAGTAGATTTGGTTGATCCTTAGTTGGCAGAAATAATCCCACTAGTCCCAGTATATCATTTGTGTACATTAACCCTGCATTTTACCACTTCTCCTGCCTGTTGCTAAGCAACTGGAGGTGAAAGGTCACCAGAAGGGCCATACACTGTTCATTCCTGTCTGCGGTTCGTTGGTGGGGGAGGATTGTTTGATTATTAAATGACAATCCCACACAGACTTCCCCACGGCCCGACATCTAGATGTGCTAATGTGTGCTCGAGGCAAAGCTGTGTGTGGTGAGCACTCACCTTGTGTGTATTTGGTTTGATGCATCGGATAAAATATGGGTTGGAAGTGCTGAGCGTGGCCATCAAGGAGTGCAAAGAGTCCTGTAAGACAATAAATGGGTGTAAACACTTTAGTTACTACCACTATTACAGCCGTCTGAGCACAGAGAGCGTCAGACACTATAGACTAAAGGTGTGTGAACATGTGCAGAAACTACCACGACAGCCAACAGAAGCACTCAGAGATAACGACTCTCTACACATTTCATTCAGTCCTTATAGTTTTATTACAACTTGTACAACATTGCTGCTACAACCACTGTTTCTGTTACTATGTCAGCTCAAACCTTTATTATAACAACTACTGATGCTGTAATAACCACAGACTGCAATTTCCTGGTCTGTAAAGAGAAGCCTATGAGAAAGTACCTCAAACGTGTATTCTTTCTAATAACCAGCAGGGGGAGACTCTTTGGCTGCAAAATAAATCTTTGTATAGGATTCTATGCAAAAATGACCCTACTTTTAAATTGATTTATTACACCATTAAGTGATTTCCTGATGAGTCTGTTATCTCAGTCTGTAGTCTGAAGTCTTACTCACTACAGCACAAAGTTCATTTTGTTACTGATGGGCCCACTCAGAGTAAAGCTCATGATGAAGCAGTATATGCTACTCATCTCAGTCAGATCACAAAACATCATGACAGCATCACTTTAAGAGACTTAGAGACAACTTTGCTATACGATGGTGACATCATAGCGTCTCCATCTTTTAATTACTATCGCAACCATTATTTCTCCAAGTCACATGTTTTTGCTTTATCTGGAAAAACTACTTTACTCAAGCACTCTTTCAAAGTAGTCGCTGCTGCTACCACAACAACTGCACATTATTTAATAGGTATTAGTTAACAAATCTAATGCAGTTCTTCCTATTATCGCTCTTTCTTCTACTGCCTCTCTTACTAAGATTTGTGCCGCTGTAGCAAAAGTCCCACTGCTGCTAATAAATAGCTTTTGGTGATTTCTACACACCTGTGCAACTTTCCCAAAAACAGATCAATCAGCAAACTTCGTTGTGTCTGAACCGCCAGCTGCAGCATTCAGCACTGCTAGAGAACAACTCAGGAAGACTTTAAAGTAAACACACTTTTTATTCGCGACTTACCTTAAACTGGGTGCTGACTGTGGGCCGTCTGTGTTTGATGCTGCTCTTCAGAGTGTCCTGTTTGTTCCGGCTCAGGACGTGTTCAAACAGATCGTAGACAAAGTCCAACCTGACAAGTAGAAGCAAATACTTGGAATTAGTGTGATGTGAAATTCGCAGTGCAAATGCAAAAATGAAATAAACTGACAACAGTGTTGTTACGTAAAAGTCAAATTTAATACTATTGATGATGATTATGTGGGACTGAATAGCATTTTTATAGCTTCGCCTCCGTCCCACATTTTAAGCGGTTCTGCAGAACAAGTGCTTTTCTAAAGTTTAGC